TTCAATATAGTAATAACCGTTTGCCTTAATCTATACAGGGTGATTCAGACCTCATCCAAAAAAAATTTTGCATGTACAGGAGACTCTTACAAACACAAATTTAGTAAAAAAAAAATCAAAAAGGTCAGTTCGAAAATGATTTAAAATACACATCTGCACGGCACTGGAAACTGGTCCACTGTAAAACTGCGCAAACATGCAGTCGGCCATCGGCACGACGGCAAAGTGTAATAAAAAATGGATGGTCAAAAAATCGAAAGAATTTCTTTCCCAAGAAAAGTAATAAATAAAATTTTATAACACCTACTTTATATCAATAAATTCAGCTGCTTTTGCCGCTATTATTATTAATTAATGAAATTAATTTGTGGTTTTAATTAACAAAATAATTTGACAGACCTGATTACAACCTGAACAACAATTGTTCAAAATTTTGTCCACACATGTGTAAACACATTTGGGCCTGTCCTGCCCAGCTTCTAAGAACTAACAGAAAAGTTGACATGCCATAAATTAAAACGATATCCATCAACTCCGAGTTGCTATACACGTAAGCAATTTTTGACACTTGAAAACACTATCGCAAAAACGTTAATACTACAATCGAATTTCAGTATTCGGAATCGCCTGGCGTCATAAGGAGAGATAGCGGATTGCGCACAGCGTACAACGCGAATGACACTAGAGACTGCAGGAGCTCAGCGATGTAAGGGTCGACAATACTACAACTTCAATAATTTTTTTTCTCGTACTCCATTTTTCATGACGCATCTATTTCGAATTTTTTTTGGATAACTTGTGAATCACCCTTTATAATGACCACCTGATTTTTCTCCCCAATCTACCTCTATAAATCAAGAGAATTATGCTTGCATGACATTTGAAGACATATATCATCAAACTATCGGGCCATATGTCATCATAGGCCTTCACTTGGGAGTTCGAATTTTCTTTTTCTTATGGAGGATACAACTGCTTTGTGGCAGTTTACAGACATCTGTTCCCTCACACCAGCCTAGCACTCCATCTAATACTACCTGAGGTGTAGATTAAATTCCCTTTACGACCGTGAACTCAGGGTCAGCTCTTTCCTTCTGCAAATTTGTCGTTACAGTTCTGTTTTCTAGCATTGCCCTAATCCACATATGGTGGACTCAATTCTTCTCTCAACAATTGAAGTCCGGCAGCGCATTGTTGAACACTTCTTTAATGTCGAGGAATGCTGCTACTGCAATTTCCTTCTTTCTGGTGGATTGGGTGATCTTCTTCACCAGGTTATTGAGGGCCAATTCTGTCGATTTATTCGTTCAGCACACTGAAAATTTACTCCACAAAGTCACCCTCTTCCCGTCTTGCCCCCCCCCTTCACTAAAGTCACCCTCTTCCCGTCTTGCCCTCCCCCCTCCTTCACTATACCAATCCAGAACCTTTTCTATATTTTTTAACAGAAATACTGTCAAACTTACTGGCCTGAATGATTTATGGTTTAGAACTGAACTATTTTAGGCATGCATACCAGACATACCAACGTAACAATAGTCCAGCTAGATGGGATGTTATTAAATGCTAGACTGAGTCTTTCTAAATGAAGAAAGTTTTATTGAGGCCATTCTGTTCTGCAACAGTGCTGGAAAAATGTTATCCTCGCCCGATTCAAAAGCTTTGATGGTCCATTTAATAACACGTATTGGGATAACTTTGATTAGTCCTTTATACAAAGTCGTTATAACCGGTCTTCAAAAGTAGATAGTAGTGTTTATATGACTATTATCCTGGATTAAACCGCTGAGGACACAGTTTTTTCATTGGAGAGTGTGTAATAGCTGCTTCAGATGGTCCCAAAAACAGATATTCCGAAGATTTAAGTCTGACGACCGGAGTGATCTTGGTTGTGGACTCGCGTTTCCTATACATCGATGTAGAAATGCATTGAGGTATTTCCGAATAGTTAGAGCAACATGCGGGATCTTGCATAAATTATAAGGAATCTCTTGTTGTCAAAGGCAAATTTTCCAGGAGTTCATTTAAAATATTAATAATGAAATGATGGTAAAAATCATTATTCAGGAGATTTGAACGAAGGGCTAATCAAAAGGTTCTCTGGTGTCCACATGTCATGCCGGAAATATGGCATACATATGGCATATAGCATTATTATTATGGAAATTTCTAATACAATCCCTCATTAGTGAATAGAATATTAGCCCAGAAATGAAAAAGTTTTAAATTTCTTTTCTCAAGCCATTGACACTAATTAAATCGGAATGGAATATACAGGGTGTCCGGTAACTACGGGGAAAAAATGAAGGGTTATACAGGGTAGTCCGAATTTTATGCAGGAAACTTCGAAGGCAGATAGATGTCATTAAAATAATATGTATTTACCTTATAAACATTGGTCTGAAACAGCCCCGTTTTAGAGGTACAGGGTGTTGAAGTTGTTAAAAAAAAAGGATTTTTTGTTTATATCTCCGGAATCTATTAACCGATCTCAACAAAATTTGGTACATATAATGTATGATAGTAGGCCTTATATTCCCTAAAATATGAGCTTTAAAGGTTCAACCAGTGGTGTACAACTGGACAGGGGTCACCCATTTTTTTACAAAAAAACCTACGCCACTGCATTTTTTACAAGTCATTGTAACTGATTTATATTCTAATCCACAAAATACGTAAAGAGGTAACTTGAATTTTTTCCCTAAGATTCGCCGTTCTCAAGTTATTCATACCAATACAATCCCCTTGTGGTAGACACTTCTAACCATAATATTACAAGTGCATTGAACTAGATGGAGGACATATCGAGCATTTACTGAAGGAACCTCATTTAATCCATATGTTTCATTCTTAACTTTTTTCTGTTGCGTTGTGTCCCCGGTTGTGGCTATACACAAAATACAAAAATTTAATTATCTTGACAACCGTTAATTTTTTCATAAGTCATGAAGTATACCTTTTTTGTAGAAAAGTAACAGGGCTATCTGCCTGCGAGGGCAAAATATCAAATTTGACAGCTGTGTCAAAGTTGCGTAAATTTTAGAACTTAATTTCGACCGTCCTTGTACAATAAAAAATATTTTATTCAATTTTAAATGTACAAAGATACATTTGAATGAGTTGCTTTGATCCCCCAAATTTCAAGTTAATCAAAGTAACCTTTAGAAATTATGGGCAATATTCATTTTTCAACTTCTTACTTTGAGTGACAATAACTCCTCAACAATGGCACCTAGGTAAAAAGTTTATATGAAGTACTAGCACTCGTTTTACCTGCTCTATATAACACTTTATTTTTTCCCCGTAGTTAGTGATGAGCCGTCATCTGAAATACTTTATGTTACTTAAGAAACTCCCTATATGAAGTAAACATCTACTTAGAAATTGCTAACAAAGAAATATTCGACATAAAAAAACTGAAATAAAAGTTTTACAAAAATTAAAAAATAAATACAAGAACACAGACAGAAATAAATGTTGCCCTGTATCACTTAAAAATAGATGAAGATATCGAGATGCTGTTATTTGCTATTCAATTTGTCTCGAAAATCGAGCTCGAAACATCTTTTATCTCTTCTTCCTTGACGAGGAATATGGGAAACTCAACCCATATTGATATGAATGCCGTTTCGTTTGAAACTTGTTTTTTATTGTCTTTTACGTGTATTTTTCAAAATTTCTTTAATTAAAAAATTTATTTAGTTCGCAGCTCCAACTATATTATGAAGAATAATACTATGTATATCCAGGAATTGAAGTTATATAAGTGAAACACTCAACACTCTTTACAGAACTTGGATACCCTTTTTGGGTTATTCGGTTAAAGAATTTTAAATACTGCCCCTGCATCTATTTTCTGCAAAAGTTTCCATTTAATGATAGAGACATAAACATTTTCCTCGTGCATTTTTAAGTATGTAAATATACTCGTACAGTAACTGCTTGTCATTATATTCAGCCTTCCAAACCAGGTGACAATTCTCTAAATGTACCCGAAAAATAAACATCTTTTATATCCTAGCATGCTCTTTATTGCTTTGTAAATATTGCTTTAACAGATTTTTTTTAGTGTCGCTTTTTATATCTAATCACGGTATGACTAATTTGATGCAAATAAGCAATAAAGTTATTTAGGTTTTTGCTACGCTTTTATTTTAATGTCACTTGTATATTTTGCATTTGTTCCTGCCTCAGGCTTTTAAAAAATTTATACCTGAATGTAAAAAATATAATACAAATGAATGTGTAGGTACAAATGTACATGAAAATTATTTATTAGTTGTTTTCATAACTTTTATTTTTGGAACTGTATAATCTGTATAAGTTTTTTTTGTTACAATATGACATATATAGGGTGTTTTAAAAAGGTGTTGCCAAACTTGAGGGGGATACAGAGGACATTGTGGTACAAAATCTTTGCATATAAACCACTAGTTGGAAATGAGCTGTTCTAGCAATTTTTGTTCAAAAACGTAATGTATCTCATTTGATAACAAAAGACTGATATTTAAGTAATTTTTATTAAGGATAACGCAACAAATGATTTTAAATAAAATAAACACGTTTATCTCTTCTGATACATTTTTACCAACTGCATGTCCTACACACGATATTGGTAAAAATTGATTTTATCCATAACTGTGTGATAAAAGCTCACGCATCTAATCTAGCCATACAATGCCATCTGTGTCACGCTGTGAGGAATACTGAAACAAATGAACAGAGCTGTCGCGTAATAAATGATCGGACTTAATTGACTATTTCACATTTGTTTTGTTTGTGACGAAACTTTGCTTCTAAGTTGTTGAAATGGACCAATTTACGTTCGAAGAGTAAGCAGACATGCATCTTATATATGGCGAAGCAATTTAACCGGAAGCCTTTTCTCATGAGGTTTGTGCGGGGTCCTTTGTACAACTGTAATATTACTATAATCTGATTGTGCACACCTTGCTTTTGAATCTTCAACAAGTATCTCTAAAAAATTTTATAAATTTCAGGGAGACGACATGTGGATCTCAAGTGAAGATCTCAGAACAGAAGGTAGCAGCGACGAAGAAACTCAAGGCGGCAGCAGAGGCCGCAGGACAAAGAAGAACAGGAAACAGAGAAAATCCGGAATGCTGGACTCTTCCAAAAGCACTTCATCCTTAGCCTCGACATCTTCCCATTCCACAGAATCCTCCATGAAAGACATTGGGGGCTGCACAAGTGAAATAGAAAAGTCCACCATCGAAGCCAACATAGATTTGAATTCCGAGCGTTTCTCCGTTTTGCATAATCCGTTTTTCACTGATATTTTCCCGGATAGCGCCGCTGGTACCAGCGGCATCAGTCTAGCATCTAGTGACTCGGGAATGGATGCTCTTAATCTGGAGAGCCGGTGGAGACCGAAGAGGGGCAGCTTGAAATATCCCATCCTAGTAGAGGGTACGTCGGTAGAGGTTTGATGAAGCGTTTTAAGTTTAAATGTAGCCAAAACACCAAAAATATTACTTCTAGGTTAGACAGAGAAAAATAGTTTCTTTATAAGCTTTTTTACTATATTTTATAATATTTTACAACCGTTGCTAGGTTGCTCGCTGAAAGAAAAGGTGTAAACCTACCTTTAGCCAAATTTAAGACAGGGATTTACCAGTAAAATTGTGTTTTTATAAAGTTTTTATACTACAAAGGTATTTTTGTAAGAATACATTTTAGAATGTAATCAGGAACTGGTTTCGTATTTTATAATAAAATTAAATAAAACTGATGAGTGTTAGTTGCAAAAATAGTATTAATAAATTATCGAGAAAAGAAAAGTAATTAATTGTTAATTTATTTTTTCTTATATTTGATCATTATTGGTTCTGCTGTTACTATTGTGATAATATACCTGTTTTTCTGTTAGATGATGTAGAGTTGGATGATATACAGGGTGATTCAGTCATAATGTCATTAATTTTAAAGGAAGACTGGGAAAAATGCGTAGAATATATTAAAATACATTTTTATCCTGAAAAAAAAAAAAAAAATAAAATCATTATTTAAACCTCTTTTCGGTCCGCTCCTGACCGCAAAAATTTATCGAGAGTGAATTTTGACCTACTATATTATTCGGTCACTAACCTAGCTTTAACTGCGCTTTTAATCCGTAGTGAACGATAAGGAAAAAACAGATCTTTTTACCTAGACGCATCAATGAATAAGATAATTTTTTACATTTTAAATATTAACAAGTACTTATTATTTATTTGCTAATAAAAACAAATGGGTAACGATAATAATTGTTTTCGAATATTACAATTTAGTATTTTTAATATTGTTATCGTTTTCACTGTTTTATAATTGAATATGAGTTATTAGTATTATCTTGAATTAATTATTCAGTTTGCAGTACTTATAATTAGTGACTTATTGCTTTTCAAAAACCAGTATGGTATCACCTATTTAAAATGCCAGTACGGTTAAAAAAACAATCATTCGTCCATAGCCCTTTGTTTATAAAGTTGCAATCCGCCACACTTTGATTTCAAAACCAATTGCAAAATTCAACATGATTAGGGAAATCAGCTGTTTCTCCTCAACGTTCGATCGTTTTGTATTTCGCTGGCGCGTTCCCTGTCATAAAATGTGTTGCGAAGTAGATCGCCGAATTAATAGAAGTTAAGGGGTAATTTGCTTATTTTTGATAAGGTCGAGGCATTTTTTTTTCTATTTTTTTGTCTCTATTAGGCCTTCCGAATACGTGGTTAAAATTAATGACGACTGAATCACACTGTATATTACGTTCAAATATGTAAAAATGTAGTCCATTTAAACAAACAAATCAATGTAGATTTGAATATGTGATTCTGGGACAATCTTTTTAAATTCAGTTTGCAGGTGAAAAATTAATCATGTTTTTATCTCTATTTATTAATCACACTGACAGAAAACTTAATACCATATTTTTAATTAAAATACCTACTTGTTTAGGATGGTATATGTATGTATTTACATTTTTCTCTGCATTTAAGTGTATTAAAACGGAAATTCTTTATACACATTCAGACGTTGCACAATTTTTTATATACGGTCTAAATTTAAACTTGTGATATCGTCTTACGCAAATAAAAACGTTAATTGTCGTCTTAATTGTCGCATTTAAATATATAAAAATGTAATGATATGGATATATTAAAATTGTTGAAAGAGCAGTTTCGAAAAGGTCAAATCATTTTATTTAATCACATTTTGTATCGAAGTTTATGAATCATCGATTTTTCTGTGTGAAGTACTATTATTTTGTTATTATTGTTACTTTCTTATTGTATTATAAATATAATTTAAATATTTAGTACGAATAAATTATTAATTGGTCTTTGCTGGAATTAGTTAATTACCTCATCCTTAAGCAGCGTTACAACATATAAAAGGAAAGAAGGAGAAAGATTACTTAATAAAACATGAGCAATGATTTTACGTTTAAAATGGAAAATTTTAACTCATGGTTAAGGTTATAAGGTTATTTAATAAATAAAATGGATATAAAAATGTTTACATTTTATAACATCGCATTTTGTCCAGTTATTTTGTTTTAAAATGGGAACTATTTTAGTTATGCATTTAAATAAAAAGTGGAAGAAATCATTGTATTCTTTTATATGAATGATATCTAGGCATTATTTACGTTTTTTTATATAACAAACTCATGTTTCGGGCTATAGGTAGCAAGTAAAAAATTCGGTGAAAGGGAACTACTAGACAATTAAATAGCCTGGTTGGTTGTTCACTTTTTTGTCGTGATAGTCTCCACTTTCCATTTTTGTTGAAATTAATCCTTGTCTTACAAGTTACTGGAGCAAGTAACTATCTCATTTACAATACCAATGTAAAGGGTGTCCCAAAATTCACGCAAGAAGTAATTATTGATAGAAAACACAAATTTTTAATTAAAAATTGTAATTTTTTTATTGATTCATAAAGTATACAGTATGTATAGGGTTAGTATGGAATAACATATCGGGTAAATGGCCTCCACGAATTTCTGTGATACAGCGCTCAATTTCCTGCTACAAGGCGTGTGTGGTCGTGGGCTTATTGGCATAAGCCTCAGACTAAAAAAAAACCCAAAGAAAGAAGTACAACGGAGTTAAATCGCATGATCTGGGCTGCCAATTATCAAAACGGAAAATTACGCGATTAGGAAATGACTCATGCAATAATTGAATTATTTCTCGGGTTGTATGGCATGTGGCACGGTCTTGTTGAAACCACACGTTGTCAGCATTTATATCTTGCAATTTAGGCACAAAAAAAACAGGATTATTATGTCGCGATAGCGAGCACCATTAACTGTTATTACCTGACCAGCGCATTTTCGTAGAAGGATGACCCGTTGATGCCTTCAGCCCAAAATCCGTACCAAACAGTCACATGTTGTGGAAGCATTTATTTCTCAACAATCACTCATGGATTTTCTGAACTCCAAATACGACAATTTTGTTGATTAATGAAGCCATCAAGATAAAAATGAGCCTCTTCGCTGGAGATGATTTTGTTCGTAAAATCATCCCCTTGTTGTTGTTTCATAATCCATTCAACGAACTCTCTTCGCTCTGCGGGATCAGTAGGCTTCAGTCTTTGAGTCAATTGAACTTTGAGCTGCAAATATTTCGTGAGAATACGCGACGGTGCCGAATCGATGTTCCTGGATTCTCAGCAACACTCTCAGGAACTGCTTCGGTGTTTTCTGTCGAACGACTTGTTGAAGGACGGCCAGAGTGTTTAAGATCATTAATTCATCCAATCTCCCTGAATTTTTCAATTAATCTCTTCACAGTGGATGATGTTAAATCACTATTCCGACCATATTTTGCACGAAAATTGCGAACTGTAGCTGCAAAATGCAGTTTTAATAACCCTGAATTGTCAGCTGTCACGCTGTCTTTTGTTTTGGCAACACTTTACAGCAGCAAAATACAAATCTTGCGTGAATTTTGCGACATCAGCTAAAAGGGCCTTAATGATTTACCTATAAGACAAAGATAAAGAAGTACAGTTTTGTTATTTTGACTCTGAAATAGCTCTCATAAACTATAAAAGAATGATTTCGCTTTTCATAAAAAATAGGCCCAAAATTTTAAGTAAAAATGAAACTTATTTTTTGTCAAGTATTTTATCACAATGTAAATTAAAAAATTGGAAAAAGTATGTAAATAAATCCCTGCGACACAGAATCAGTTAGAGGTTGTTTCAACGAAAAGCGGAATATTCTCACATCACTATTGTATGAATCCTTTTCACAATATACGTGAACGCCTCGATAGATTTTCTAGTTTATTATTCCAACTAATATAGGGTCAAATAAATGTGGGCCCGAGTTTAAATTTTAGTCGTTGCTATTTTTAATTTTTACAGAAAAATGTTTAATGGTTGTTTCCATTAGGCTATTCTTTGCTTTGGTAACATTTGCTTAACTATGGGAAACGAGTAAGATCCTCAAATGATTTCCTATAATTGAAATTCGTAATTAGGAAATGCAAGTTTTAGATACATTTTCTTGTTGAATTATCTTGGAAATTATTAAACCCCTGAGGAAAATGAAAGAAATGTGTTCATTTCATACATACAGGGTGTTTTTGAATGGAGTAGCATAAATGATACCAGTGAATCTACATTTCAAAAGAACACGATCTGCAAAAAATCGCCTTAGTAAAATGTTCACCCCTGAAGAGATAAGGGCCATCGAAGTTTCCAAATAAAATTATGAAAATTGCTGTAATTTGAAAACAGAACGAGGTACAAATAACAAATTTTTTACAGGTTGTTTACTAATACAGATGCGAGTTTTCAACTATTTTTCGAAAATTTTAACCCCTCGAAAGGGGTTGAAATAACCACCCCTCAAGCCATTTTTTGCCATAACTTTTATATTTCGTAAAAACTCGATATCCAAAAATACGCATTAGATAAACTGGTTCTTTTAGAAACTTTTACCTCTCTAGCAATTTTCCTTTAAAACTTTTCGTTTATTAATAAAAAAATAAAATGTATTACCATTCACCTCACACCGTATATGATTGCAATCAATCAAAGAAAAACTAAGTGTGCTGCTGTCATGCCAGTTGTCACAATTAACTCTTCTGTAAGTTGTCACTGTTATCAGCTAAATACTTTTTGGGTGTAAATTAACAAGAATTATGCCAAATTTTACTAATGATGAATATGTGGACATGCTACAAGTGTATTTTGAATGTCGCAAAAACTGTGCTGCGGCAACAAGAGCGTATAATGAGAGATATCCAAATCGTCAAGTTCCCCACAGACAAACTTTTTCGGCGGTAGAACGAAGACTTCGGGAAACTGGAAAAATACAGCCGCATATTGAGGGTACCGGCCGAAGACCTACTGTTCGTACTATTTATCTTGAGGATGCAGTACTTGAAGAGTTTGACGAAAATCGTCAGACTAGTACGAGAAAAACAGCAATGCACTTAAATGTGTCCCATAGTGTTGTTTGGAATATTGTCCATGATAATTTATTATATCCTTTTCACCACCGGCCAGTTCAAGCTCTACTTGAACCAGACATGCATAAGCGAGTTGTTTTTTGCGAATCGTATCTTAATATTCTAAGAAATAATTTGAATTTTGCCTCAAAGATACTTTTCACAGATGAAGCAACTTTTCAAAGACATGGTTTAACCAATATGCACAATCTTCATTCCTGGGCTCATGAAAATCCTCACGAAGTATCTATGACAACATTTCAACATAATTTTAGTTTAAACATTTGGGCAGGAATTGTAGAAAATGTGCTTGTCGGCCCTTTTGTTTTACCTCATCGACTTGGTGCTGTTGAATATTTGCAGTTCTTAAATGAGCATCTACCACCACTTCTGGAGGAAGTACCATTAAATGTACGTCAGGCCATGTGGTACATGCATGACGGGGCTCCTGCTCACAGCACTGTAGTAGTTAGGCGGTGGCTTAATTTAAATTACCCGAATCGTTGGATAGGTCGCGGCAATGAGGCACCTATCTCTTGGCCTGCACGTTCTCCCGATCTAACGCCCATGGATTTTTTCTTTTGGGGACATATAAAAAGTATTGTTTATGCGACCCCAGTTGACAGTGTTGAAGAGCTACAGGAAAGAATATTCGCGGCGGCTGATGAGATTCGCAACAATCCCATAATTTTTGCTCGAGTCCGTAACAACTTTGATAAACGTGTTAGGTTGTGTTTAGAAAGAAATGGCAATTATTTTGAAAATGTCCTTTAACTAAGTTTTTTGTTTTTTCTCTTTTTGATAATAAATTATTTCTTAGTTTCGTTTTCATTGTACTTCTATTTAATAAAAGTTTCTGCGACATTCAAACAGTTATTTGTGCAACTACTGTAAAGAGTGTGTATTTGTTGTACGATGCATGAAGTTTGCAGCTCGAGACGAAGTTGAGAGCTGCAATCATGTTAAGTGCAACAAATATGCTTTTTGCACATGTTGCACGCAACATTTTTTCTACGATTGTTTTTATTTCAAATTTTATTTAACAGTATTTTACATAATATTAAAATTTTAACTGACAACTGGAAATTAATTGCGCAAATTGTCAATGTCAGACGTTAGGTACTTATGGATATGCTTAGATTAAACTTGTAATCAATATTTTTTTTGTACTACTGTAAAAAAAGTTAAACTTTTGGCACAGTAGGTAGTGCAATAAGTAGTAAATTTTGCACGATCGTAGAAAAAAACACTTGTAGCATGTCCACATATTCATCATTAGTAAAATTTGGCATAATTCTTGTTAATTTACACCCAAAAAGTATTTAGCTGATAACAGTGACAACTTACAGAAGAGTTAATTGTGACAACTGGCATGACAGCAGCACACTTAGTTTTTCTTTGATTGATTGCAATCATATACGGTGTGAGGTGAATGGTAATACATTTTATTTTTTTATTAATAAACGAAAAGTTTTAAAGGAAAATTGCTAGAGAGGTAAAAGTTTCTAAAAGAACCAGTTTATCTAATGCGTATTTTTGGATATCGAGTTTTTACGAAATATAAAAGTTATGGCAAAAAATGGCTTGAGGGGTGGTTATTTCAACCCCTTTCGAGGGGTTAAAATTTTCGAAAAATAGTTGAAAACTCGCATCTGTATTAGTAAACAACCTGTAAAAAATTTGTTATTTGTACCTCGTTAGGTTTTCAAATTACAGCCAATTTTCATAATTTTTTTGGGAACTTTGATGGCCCATATCTCTTCAGGGGTGAACATTTTACTAAGGCGATTTTTTGCAGATCGTGTTCTTTTGAAATGTAGATTCACTGGTATCATCTATGCTACTCCATTCAAAAACACCCTGTATATTCATATTCCTCAGTTCTTTTCTTTTTCCTTTATAGGATTAACAAGTCTCATTCAAGTATCATATCAAAACAAAAACATCACCTATGAATCCTTCTCAAAAGATGTAAGTTATTATTTCCCTAGCGTTAAGAAATCCTTAAAACAGTTGGTCGAAACAAGCATAAGCTATGTGTACCTATGTATTTTGTCTGTACTAATAGATTTTTATCAAATTAAATATTACTTATATGCAACTCTATAAGCACCTTCGGTGTTTTGCTGGTTGCATACATTTGTTTTTTTACGCTAAATCTGAACGGGAATTTCTTTGATATAAAAATAGCTACTAACCAACTTTGCAATCAAGTTATAGCAGACATAAAGAAACAGAAGATGACTAGGTACATTTTCTTGAATAAGCTGAGAATTGTTATTTGTATTTTGTAATTAATAACAAAGTCATTATTTATTTGTTGGTACTTCTGAATTTCATTGACGAAAATTATTTCTAATTTGTGAAGAACTTCGTGGATAAATTTAAGAATACTTACCCAACTTGAAGAGAATTGAATGAATTAAAAGAGCTGCTATTACAAAATTTGAAATAAAAATTACAAACGTTTTTTATAAATTAAATTTTTGTTTTACAAGAATAATGAATAATAATTGAAAATCAGTAAGTTTGAGTCATGTAGGGGTAGGGTGTAATAACGATGCATGGTCACGAGCAAAAAAATTCAGTGGATGAACCTGGGATTTAATAAAAAGTAGTTTTTCATGTATTTTACTACTAAATTATATATTTAGCACATTTCAGAAATAAAATTTGTTAGAATTAATAATCGTAGGCACTTGTTTAATTATTAAATTTTTTGACATACTAAGGTTTTAAACGATGCTGATTAAGATTTGAATCAGACACAATAAATTTGAAACTTTAAGCCTGTTCACAAAAATATGCAGCATTAAAATTGTATGATATTTGGGAATTGGGATTTTAAGTGATGATGTTATATAGCCATATTTTTAGGTGAAAAATCCTTACAACGGCTTTTAGAAAAACCACTTAAAAAAATAGTCATCAATATAACAAATCACAAAACGCAAGACAGAAACAAATTATTCCGTACAGTAGGAATGGCAGGAAAAAAAATGAGAACCTAAGACTCCCGACATATTTTTTGGTATATATAAATATATTATTCAACACTACATGTTCTATGCTAATTTGCCCATTTTGTTTAGCCTCAAGACTTACGTCAGATTAAAATTTCTACGAAATAGTAAATAGTGCTGTTTTGCTAGACGTAAGCATGGATCCTTGACGTAACACATTTGTCACTTAGAAATTTAAATATATGCCAAATCTACCCATGAGCCAATGCGATAGCTTTTAGTACGATCATAGTGTCTTTAGTCGCTTGAATAGCTAGTTAATAGTTATTACTGAAAGGTTATCATTGAAATGTTTATTTCCTTTTAGTTGTATTATAAATATTTCAGCTTTCTTTGTTTAAACGTAAGTAATTTCAGTAACAAGTTTTCAACAAATTGCTTCAAATCTAAAAACTATTTTCTATTCGGGCTTTGCATGAAATCGTATGAACTCTAGCGTAGCCTAATCGTACCCTAAGTTATGGACAAGGTTAAGCCCTGCACAGATAGACAAAAGCAATACTTGTACTTACTCCATTCCCGGATTTAAGGAATCAAAATAAATGGATCTTCGTCGATTGTTGCACCTATGAAGACTAATAAGATTGAAGCTAGTATAGTCTGGTGTGTTCGGCCCAATGATGCTAGTTGTATTCAATGATACTGCTGGTGAAATTCAATGTTAGCCGGTGCATATACTCTGCAATATCATCACTTACAACTTTCGTCCCCACAGGGGTAGACTGGTCATTTTTACATAGCATCTGTGATGTTCTGCCATTTTTTTGGTCTTTTTGTCGGCCTTGGACAGTTGCTTTTGTGTGTGTTGTTGTGTAGAAACAATACTATTGGCCAATTTAAAGATTTAAGGACAGACAAGTAGTGCTTAGGACATATACTAAGTTTAGACGTTCAAAAATAATTAAAAAAGTATTGGCAAATTCTCATGAATACGAGTATACTCTTAAGTTCATCAGCAGTGTACAACTCAGTGTTCACGAATGATTAACGCCTTGGTTATACCAACCTTAGTTTTTTAAAGTGAAATGGAAGTTACATTATTATTATATATTATTATAATAAATTTGCATTTTTAAGGTCAAACCACCGCGAATTACTTGCACGAAGTCGACGGTTTCTTCAACGAAATGATGTCGAAAGTCAAGTCGCTGCGATCCTGTCCAGCCTTAGAAGATTTCGAGGTAAAGGAATTAGAACAGGATAAGCCTAAGTTGTACAAACACTTGAAGGACACGCCAGCGGTGAAGGAGAAGCTCAAGTACATAGAACGCCTCGATAATGAGATCAAAGAGACCATGCAGGTTTACAAGGTGAAATTGTAATGTGTAATGTTTAACGTAACATAAATAATTTTTTCAACTTGGTTCAAAATTTTCATAAAAAGTCAATCATTACAATTCTGCATAAGAACCGACACAGAGCTGATGCATCTAAGGGTGACCGAAATATTGTATGTAATTTAACCAAATTTACCGATACAGAAAGTTCTAGCCTCGCGAGTCTTCCAAATGAGGATCGACATTTCGAAAAAAAAATTCTGTAACACATTGATTTAAAAGTACCTTTAGTACACAATCAACCTTTACGCAATAAGTCCTTGACATTTTCAAAGAAGTTTAAAATAAATGTTTGAGCAGGTATTGTTGATAGGCATTTAATTGGTCCAATAATAATTTTACCAAACCGTGACAAAAGTTATTTGAAATTTCTTTCAAAAGACTCTTTCTTTATTTAGAAAATTTAACCATTGCACCTCACATTACAACTTTGGTTTAAGTATTATGGAGGACTATCTCATTTTAGTACAATTATTAGAGATTTTTTAAATACGCAGTTTCCAAATAAATGGATTTTTGGACGTATGCAGAAGTACGTGCGTGCATTGCACCTACGTTGATAGGTGCAAGTAGTTGTACTTAATCTAACCCTAATCAGTGGTTATATACTTAATTTTAATATTTTATTTTAAATCATTTGTTTATGTCTACTGTTTAGCTGTAGAGAAAATGGTAGATAATTTTGACGATTATTTTGATCTATTTCTGCAGGAAGAAATGAATGTTATAGATCTTTTAGCCATATACAGGGTGTAAGAAGTTTAACTGCCATTACTTCAGCATCAGAGTTGTATATTACAGGGGCGTAAGATTAACAGTTTTCAAAATGCAGTGCGTATTAATATTGGGGAGTTTTATCACAACGTGACAACAGCGCTTAACCTAACGCTGGTGCATACCACTTAAGCACGCGGCAGACGTCCTACGGAAAAAATGTAAACAACTATTAAATTAAATTAAATTAAATTAATTTAGAAAATAAGACAATTATTTTCCAGTTTTTAAATAAATAAAATAAAATGTATCGATTTCGTAGTACGAAGACAGTATTGTGCTTAAATTTTAGCTTGAATTTTAGTAATTATGAATCTCTTAAAACAGGAACTTGACTTTCAAATAATGAATTTGAAAAATATGTACTTAATTAAAGTAAGTAGGTATTCAAAGATTTACGCCATCCAAATAATCATGCGTATTAAAAATAATTTAGGTACTTACCAAAAAGCAAAATTCAGTAATTTTTAAACGTACTACAAAAACAAACTACAACATATGCTCAAAATGTTCATCACCATTTTCGATGCACGCACAACACCTTTGAATCCAATTTTCGCGCACTCGCTGGAAAACACCTCAAGAAAAGGAAATAGTGATACGCAAAAAACACTCCGACACGGTCGAATCCAGATACCAACTGAATTGCGTATTGCTGGACACCTTAGTATCTCGTGTTAATAAACCGCCGCGTCGTTGTCACATTGCTCGATATGAATTTTATCGAATTTTAAATTTGTTACAATACTAATTATTTTTTAGAATTAAGCATAAATAAGTTCTGTGCACGCAATTATGTCAATATTCCTTAATTAATCGAACTTTGGTACATCAAGTTGGACGGTTTAAATTTTTTTCTCGGAAAAGATTTGAGTTTAGGAGTCATATAAGGTTTATTTATTATAATGTCTATCGTTAAAATTAATTCAGTCAAACTTCTAACACCCAGTATACAAAATCAGATTAGCAACTTTCCTCTATATTTCAATGGTGAAACCATACCTAAGTACTTTTATTTTCTAATACACCTTGATAATCCTTAACAAAGGAGGTTAATATTTTTCCCTTTTATTTATATAGTTGTTCTTCTATTATCTATTACAAGTTAATTTGAATTTTGTGTCATATGTACTATATTACATTTACTGGCTTACTTAGGTAGTAACATTTTTGTCACAGTTCATTAATTGAAACTTACTTACCTTGTTCAATACAAAATAAAATGTCTGTAACTTCTCTTTTCCAACAATTATCTTATCCAATGATCTTCGTAATCATAACTACAATCATAAATGAATAATAAATAATAGACAACATTCGACATTCCAACAATTTCATAAATATGACCATGGCCTTTGGCCCAACAACAAACAATAATTATTGAATTAGTGAGTGCAAAAAGAATTTAAGTCCAAAAATGTTTTTGAAATGAGATCAACATTTTGGTGAAGCTTCATCTACTGATTGTGAGCGCAAGAATGGTGTGCTCACCAGTGGCGGCCCGTGGGTTTGAATACAGGGAGGGCGCATTTTGAAGGCAGCCCCCCGCTTAGCAACGCAGGCGAAAATTTTAAGGAATTTGAAGGTCATTGTGTTTTGCAAGAACCCCAAAATGAATACTGTCAGTGTGTGCAGTAGGTACTTAGATACAATGCGAGAAGTAAAATAACGTGTGGGGGCTGAAGTGGATAATCGATCAACCAACCCAGTTAGGATATAATTATGTAGATTACTGTAATAGTTCATTCTGTATAGTTTTTGAAGTTTCGTTAAAAACATGGGCATCACTAAGATGTTTATCTAAAACGGGATCAATTTTTGCACTATAGTCTATCAGTTCTAAAAATACCCCTTTGTTTACCGAGTCACTTTTTTCATTATGTCCCCGAAGAGGAAGGTTACATGTACCACATAGTTTTAAGATATCTATAATTTTTGAAAGAAGCAATCGATTTTTCTTAACTGTTTCGTTATGACTATTTATTTGTTCTGCATAAGCACTACTTAAACAAGAAGCAATGCTCTTCCTAAAAGTAAAAAACTCACCAACTTATTTTTGTGTTTAGGAGAATTTCATGTTCCTTAATTTTGTCTGGTAAATGCTTCAAGTCAAAAACTCCAGATTTCGTCCAGTTTTCTTCGCCTCCTCAAAATAAACATACAAAACAAAAAATCTAATTGTTTCGTCACAACCACAGGGTCTTATCATAAATGTTTTTATCAAATCTGCGAATAAAAGCCGGCCTACTTTTGCACTCTTTCTGCACCTGAACTAAATTCAACACTGGCGTTGAACGTCCATTATTTTTCAATTCGACTTTTTCCTCTAAACTTAAATTAGTAATAAGAAGTTTTTTTTATTTCACAAACCCTCATTTTAAACTTAAACTTATAAAATATAATGTCTTAAAAAGCGCCAAAGCAAAAACAAAACACGTATAACCACACTTCAGTGATACGGGTTACTGCCTCATGGAGTCCAAAACAAAGTGCGCGAGACTATCGTCGCCTATCCCCTCCACGTGCCAATTTGTCCAATCATATATAAAAATATGCTTGCACGATGGACTCAAGATTGCACAGTCCACAATGGAGTGGGAATTGCGCGCGCGGTCAAACATAACTCTTTGGTACGATCATAGATGGCAGATGGCATTAATCTGAGCTACGTTCACGGAGTACAAGCACATTATGCAATCAACCTAACATCCAAGAGATGTTGAATGCATGCTATTTAAATAAATACATTATTTTAAGTTTATAGTTTGAAAATATCTTGGGGGGGGGGGGCGGAGTCCCAGAGTCCTATTTCACGAGCCGCCACTGGTGCTCACTATTACGATAAAGTCTATACCGAAATTTCTTTCTGCGTGTTAAGTGTAAAAAACGTTGTATGCCTTGGATCTATAGTTAATGATAGGAACTGCAACTACAGTGCCTTTGTTTATTTCACAAGTTGGAGATACTAAAAATTAATTTATTTCTGCTCATTGCCGGTGATAGTTGTTGTCACTTGTAGTATTTTTTGCACTATGATTTTGGATCACGATTAGACATTGTCTTTTTTGTAAATCAGCTAATCAGTGTCTAGTTTTTAGTCATGATCGCAACATCACAGCTAAAAGAAAACAGCATTACTACCATTGCTAAGTTCTGAACTTATTACATAGATACAAATTCCAGCAGTGAAAATGATTTAAGCTTCTTAAAGTTTCAGTCAGACCTACATGTCCTTATAGTCTACCACCAGTCTTTATTAATAAAAAGAAAATTGATGATTTAAAAAGGTCATGATAGTTATCAGTGCTGAGGACCAGGAGTTCTACTCAATATCACCTCATGAAAAACTACAACACCTGTTCTTGAAGAAGTCTAAAGTTGTCCACTTTTTTCATACAGGGTGTTTATTAAGTGCTTGAACAAACTTTAAAGGGTGAATCTTTGGACAAAAAGTTCATATGAACATAGGTCCGCAAGGGCTTGGTTCTTGAGATACAGAGCGTTCAAAAAATGTTCGTTTGGTATTTTGATTATATTTTTGTTCAATAACATGAAAATTTGACGAAATTCGGGAAACTGGGAGTACTGAATGATGAGAAACTCAAATATTTACTTAGTTTTTTGTTTAATGTTACATACAGTGTTGTACCTAGATTTAAATAACCATAACTTTTTCGTGTAAGTCATTGTTGACTAGACATACCTATTCCCTATTCAATTTTACGTACAAAAGGTACTCTTAATATTTGTCGTCGAAAGTAGCCGTTTTGTAAAAAAAACGGGTTTAAAGTTAAACCTGCGTTGAAATTTTGTAAGTTGAATCATTAAGAGTTTTTGAAAAACACGTGAGAAAATGTGTCTTTTATTGATTGTATTGCGATGTGACAATAACTTTTTATTTTAAAATTTCATATATTTTATCTTTAAACTATTTCGCAGGCAGAAAGAGCTGAACGACTTCAAATTCAGAATGAAATGTGTAATGAAATTTGCAAAAACCCTTTTCCAGGGAAAGATGCACAGATGTTTTTGGAACTATGCCATTTTGAAGCTGATGGAGATTTAAATGAAGAAGAAAAAGGTAATTTTATCTTTTCAGTTAATTCTACATCGTTAGGCGGAAGTTATTGTATATCTATTTTTCAAAATTATATTACAATGTACCATCTAAAACAACTCCAACATTTCTCTTTAAGGCAATAAAGAGAAAAGTGAAGCAGTAAGTACTAATCAAAGCAATAGGAGTATTGAAGACAGTTTTATTAAAAGGAACATAGAAGTAAGTATTAAAACTGTATAAAAGTATATAAATGTTACGTCTACATCTTAAAAAATAATTTAAAAAACTCAAATGTTGTCATACGATTTTTATTTGTCTTCAAGCGCCACATCAAAAATTAATATACAGGGTGGTCCAGATTTTAATAGACAAACTTCGCGAAAGTACTAAACAGCAAAAATTAACATCACTTTGCTCTATGAACATAGGAGCAAAAAGCCACCGTTTATGAGATACAGGGAGTTGAAATTAACAAAAATAAAACAATTTTTTTAAATATCTGGAAAACCACTTTATCAAATTTATCCAAATTTTTTTTTGAAATAATTCCCCTAGTTCTGTATGCATACAGTCCAAATTCAAAAACCAGTGGCGAAGAAACAAGGATATCGTTTCCCTATTTAAAGTAAAACTTCTACGCAACTGAATTAATTGATAATATTAATATATTTTATAACGATCTTCCGGATGGAAAAACATTATTTTATTTTTGTCGAAAATTGAATGGTTTACGAGTTATGAAACATACGTATTATCCAAGTAAACATCTTGCCACCTAGACTAAATTCGGATCTGATTTTAAATTTTTTGGACAATAGCCTCTTCCAATTAATGGAGGACATATCTTCGGATTAACGAATTGGGACCTGGTTTCAAATGGACCAGGCGCCACCACATTCTGGCCTGGTAGTTCGTGAATGGCTGACGAACAACTACCAAAACAGATGGATTGGTCGGAATGGCCCCATACCTTGGCCACCTAGATCACGTGATGTAAATATTTTATGTTAATTTTATTTGGGGGTAACCTATAAAATTACGTTTATGCCGTTCCTATAGCAGATAGAGACCAGCTAGTGTAAAGGCTAAATGAGGCTTGCACTAATTTGAAGCAAAATCCAGTTTTAATCAGAGCTGCAGTGAATTCTATAACCAAAAGATGCCAAAAGTGCATTGAGGTTGGAGACGGACACTTCGAGCAATTGATTTAATTTATTTGTTTTTCATATAACTTTACTTGTTGTTTCTGTTACTTGAAAGTCGAGCTCGATATGTTTGCTATGATAGTGAAAAATGTGTATCAAATTTGGATAAATTTGACGAAGCGGTTTTCCAGTTATTTAAAAAAAATTGTTTTATTTTTGATAATTTCAAGGCCCTGTAATCTCATCAACGGTGGCTTTCTGCGCCTATTTTCATAGAGCAAAGTGATGTTAATTTTTGTTGTTTAGTACTTTCCCGAAGTTTGTCTATTAAAATCTGGACCACCCTGTATAATTAAATTAATAACAGGTATATGATATTTTTATTATAATTTATTATAAAGGGAATAGCAGTATTTATATTTTTAATAGCACGACATTTAATTTGAAAACAAAAGTTTTGAGTTTTTTTTTAAATATTTTTACTGTTAGAATTTGGATCGTTTCAAGTGATTCACGCTGTATAAGCAAACCTATAAGGCTAACTTAAAGTGATCTAAAGTATCTATAGAACAAAAGTTACAAGTAAAGGTACCTTAACTGTGGAATACTTATGGGACGACTATAAATTTAGCCCAGAAACACACTGTAATTAAGATAATCTTTTAGTTATTTTACTAATACTCGTACATGTCCCGAACGACTTCTTTAAGTGAAGGTTATGGGTTTTAAGTTTGTTAAGTTACACTTAAAGACTGTTACTTTTTCTGTCTTCAGTTCTAAATCTAGAATGTTCAACCGTAATTAATTGTTTTGTTGCCTGACATATACGTCACCGTCACATTCATAAATATTTGTGAAGTATCTAACTACAACCTATTGATCAAACTTGTTGTCGTTTGTAATAGTTGGCTAGGCAAGGAAGTATGGCGGGTTGCTCCTTGACCGATGAGGAAAAAAGGAAGTTGGAGGAACTGTTAGTCGACGAACAAGGTAGGAAGAAGTACATATATTATTTTATAGAACTAGTTGATAAAATACCTATGCATTTCCTCTCTTTAATACTTGTTAGTTAGTGATAGTTAGCATGTTATCAAACCAAAAGTGTCTTCTAATTAAATAGTATACTTCCGCAAAATAATAATTATGTTTCTGCATGTACCATTATATAGAAGCAACGGTTTAAGAGCCTTCTTATGAGTATCATTTATAGACACAATTTGTGTTTTATTTTTCAACATACATAGTCCCTTTGCTTTGTAACACATTTATATGTCCCCCCAACTTTGCAGATGTCCTTTACAAAATAGCTTTTTGGTGTAGACTTTAAATAGATTTACGCAGTCTCTATTACAGTTTTTATAGGTATGTTTCAACACCACAAATGTTTCTTCAAACTGTAGATAATTCTTTTATGTACAGAGTTATTAACCTGAAAGAAATAAATATTGAGATGAAAGTACAAGCCTCCCATATTCTGTTCTGGTGACGAAATTGTGATAGTACCAAAATACTTTCTTGCAAAAAGCTAACTACAAACTCATAGAGAGCTAGACCGACTGTATTCTGAAGCAGTAGGAACATATAAAAAAAAAATAAGACAATTTTTATAAGGCCCTTTGTAACTGTCTTTAAATAAATCTCTGTAATCACCGATTTATTTATTTATTTATTTTTCAATTTCAGACGGTTCTTACAACGTGGAAGCCAATCCACATAAAAAAGATTCAGGCCTGTCTCTGGACGAATCCGATGAATCTTCTGAAGATGAGAATTATTTCATATCCAATGCTTACGCTTTGGACAACGATGATATAACGAAAATGGAAGACATCAATTCCGAGTTGGAAGTAAGTTGTTAAGTTGTATTATTTTTGCTTAATGTGTATTACACCATATTTCAAAACATTTTTATTTGTTTAATAAATAACTCTTTGCACAGAACGGATCAGTCAAGGATTTGACTGAATCTACATGGTTTTGCCTAAGCAGAAATATATCGCATTGAGATAGCAGATACTTCTACGCAGTGATTACTACAACACATAGGATAAAGTGAAAGTTTCGAAAAATTCTTTGTTTTCATTATTAAAATTCAGATTGAACGTCGCTGAAGATGTTCAACCGACAACTATAAAAGAAATGGTACACATGTATTGACGCACAAATGAAACACATGTATTGACGTTAGTATTAGCAAAATAAATGCGACCTTTTAGTTTTGTTTTCACCGTGTTCATTCCTTTTCTCAAATTTTTTTTTATCAACCTCGGACTCGTACAAGAACATCAGCATTATCTCCTACACCAAATAATTCCAGTTGTGAAACCAGTTCCATACTATCACTTCTAAATTTATCTCAAAGAGTTTAATGTAGTGTGTAGTATAGAATTTATTAAAAAAATAACTGCCTATACAAATCTTTTGCTGTTTGAAAAGCATACGGAGTATTACCACTGTCATACTGCCTAGGCATCTTCCTCACCCCAATAAAACTGGTTCATATACGTTTTTTTTGCAGTAGCTTCATTCCACAAATTGTAATGTCACTTCTCTGAGACACTAAATTACAAATACATTTTTCTACCTGAAATTTGACGTTCGTTAAAACAATGACTTGCTTTGAAGTATTAAGCTTCTCAACACTATTAAACACAAAAATCATTGCTTTCAATAAAAATAAAAACTTGAATTGATATAAACTTGCAAGATGATCAGTAGCTTTACTACCTGTTTCGCTTCTTCTTTAGACGCTTCTTCATGAAACAATAAACAAGAAACAATTCATCATATCATCAATAAATCTGAAGCACATGCTTAATCGTTCCTTACTGGTAATGGAGGATGTTTCTTCTATTATTATGAAAAAGTCCTCGCCTTCTTGATTGTCTTTGCTATTTTGCTTTTACTGCTGTGAATAGACTCTTTTAGTGTGACGTCACATATTTAGACAACCCGTAATAAATTGTCATAGTAGAAATTGTACAGATCGAATCTGATCCTTGTTTACTATTTACATAGATACTATAAAAATGAACAATTTCAAATTAACTTATTTTTACAAGGGTTTAGAAGTATTTAAGAACAGCCAACACGTGTTTCGTAAAATAGACACACTAATGTGCTTAAAACTTACAAAAAAACGATTTAAAAGAATATTCTTAAATTTAAATAAAGTAAAAAATTTAACATTAGCCGTGTTATTCCTAATGCGCATGCTCGGGAAGAATAGGCTCATACGTAGGTGATATATCATAGCTGTCATCATTAGCGTATTTTCTCTTCTTTTGTTTAATCTTGGCATTTTCTAGTTCTATCAAATATATTTTATTGTCTTTCTTGGTTCTCTGCTGTGTCAGTCTGTTTATCGAATGTTTTTTGTTCTTCAAGTGGTTTATTATAGACGTACTCTTAACCAGAACCAAAATTTCTTGAATGGTATCCTGCTGCGNACTTCAAATTAACTTATTTTTACAATGATTTAGAAGTATTTAAGAACAGCCAACACGTGTTTCGTAAAATAGATACACTAATGTGCTTATATTATATTCTTAAATTTAAATAAAGTAAAAATTTAACATTAGCCGTGTTATTCCTAATGCGCATGCTCGGGAAGAATAGCCTCATACGCAGGTGATCTTGTTGATATATCATAGTTGTCATCATTAGCGTATTTTCTCTTCTTTTGTTTAATCTTGGCATTTTCTAGTTCTATCAAATATATTTTATTGTTCTTCTTGATACTCTGCTGTGTCAGTCTGTTTATCGAGTGTTTTTTTTTCTTCAAGTGACGTACTCTTAACCAGAACCAAAATTTCTTGAATGGTATCCTGTTGCGAGGCTACTTCACTTACATTAAATTATCTTTAATGCGTATGCTCAGTAACATTTATATAATTTTAATTTATTAATTGCTATAAAAGTTAATATTGTTCTATAAATTTAAAAATATAAATTCTATAATTCTTTTAGTTTGCCACTTGGGGTTTGAAACTTCTTAAATATTCTAATATTTCCCGAATAACGCGAAATTTAAGGTCATTACAAAGAAGTAATTTTTTGGCATTTATGTCCAAAGTACAGGCTGGTCCATTTTCAATGGGAATTCAGGGTATTTCAGAAACTACTAAAGATATGATAAATCTGACGCGACGTTCTCGAGTTTGAGTTTCATGGCAAACTCGACTGTCAAATCAGAAATTTGCTATCTTTCTGAGTTACAGGGCGTTTCTCGTTATTTTCACATTTTTTAACGTGTCTGTATCTCAGCTGTTAAATAAGTTAGAGTTAAAGTGAAAACTGCTCAAGAAGAATTCTTTGGCGTAGAATTGAATGCCGGTGTTAGATTTTTAGTAGATCTTAAAATTTCGGAGTTATGACCTAAAGTTATATTTTTTAAATAGAAATCGTGGCTAACCATCGCCTAAAAAAAATAGAGATTTTTTTTCGCTTTTTAGCAATATATTACATACTATAGTTATTTTTACAAACACAAAAGTACGGGGTGTTTTATATATAAATTAGGTATATATTTTTTTCCTCTTTAATATGGCTGGCTATGAAAATACAGATAAAACTATAATTCTTACTTTAATAAAAGTCATATTTATTGTAAAATTATGACGTTTATTTTAAATGCACAACATATACTCTTATAATAATATCTATAATACTAACGAAATTTTAGGAGACAGATGGATAGGAACAAACGGACCGATCAGATGGCCAGCTATACGTTACCTGATTTGACTCCGTTGAACTTTTTCCTTTGCGGTTTTCTAAAAGACATTATATTTAAAATTCCTTTTAATAATATTTCAAATATACATTTAATGAATGCTACCCGAAGCGTTGCCAGAAAATGCGCGAAATATGTGACAGTTGAAGGTATGGTTACCAGATCTATTTCATGACAGACCCGGAGATATGACTCGTTTCTATAATTGATGCCTAAAAAACACTTGAACATTTATTTAGCTATCATTTTTTAAAGTTTTTATTGATGTAGGTACTTACTATTGTTTAATTTACGTTTAATATTGTAACTTCGGTTGAAGTGTAATAACAATTTGAAAACTTCTTATGTCTTTTCTTTTCTGTAATATTACAGTTTTGTATATATTTTCATAGCCAGCCATATTAAAATGTAAAAAAGGATCGAATTTATACAGTGTGTCCCGTTTTTCAGGTTAACACCTCTGGAAATGTGAGAAGACTGCGGACTTTCCGCAAGCCAATTTTTTTTACAAATAGTACCCTGAAGGGAGGTTATATTCTACTAATCATTTTATTGATGTTACAAAATCCTGGCCTACTACGATTTTTTTAAAGTCGTTTTTCCAGAATGCAGTATTAGGCATTTTTTTTATCAAAAAGATAATATCACCAGGCTATTCAACACCCATCAAAATACCCGTATACCAAATTTGAACGACAAATGTCTATTGAGTGTTTTTTATGTGGTGCCAAACTTCGAAAAATCAGACAACTAAAAATTATAATAAGCAAGTCAAAGATTGCCATGAAAGTGAAAACAAATACCAATCGGACAAAGAAAAAATACAGGCACTATAAATTTAAAACTTTTAATTATATTAATTAATTACCTATTATTAATTAATTATAAAAATAATAACTTACAAAAAATATAATGAATTGTAAATACTAAGTTGTTAAACAAAAAATTGCAAAACGTTAATCTAAATTAAATTTTAGTTTTCTCCATCAAACCTCCTTCCAGTCGAACACATTTTTCCAATCCTCTTCTTAAATTTAAAAATAACTTACATAGCTGTTGTGGAGTAATCTCTGCACAAGTTTGTCTTATGCAATTCATTAGGTCATCCAAATTCCTTGGTCTGTTTTTATAAACATTTTGTTTTATAAAACCCCAAAAGTCCATAGTTCGAGAAAACTAAAATTTAATTTAGATTTTTTTGCAATTTTTTTTTAACAACTTAATATTTATAATTCATTATCTACATTTTTTGTACGTTAATGTATTATTTTTATTGTGGCCGCAATTAAAAGTGTTAAATTTATAATGTCTTTATTTTTTTCTTTGTCCAATTGGTACTTGTTTTCACTTTCATGGCAATCTTTGACTTGTTTATTATAATTTTTAGTTCCGATTTTTCGTTTGGCAGTAGGTACATAAAAAACACTCAATAGACATTTGTCGTTCAAATTTGGTACATGGGTATTTTGATGGGTGTTGAATAGCCTGGTAATATGATCTTTTTGATAAAAAAATGCCTAATACCACTTTCTGGAAAAATTACCCTTTAAAAAAAATCGTAGTAGGCCAGGCTTTTGTGACATCAATAAAATGATTAGTAGAATACAACCTCCCTTCAGGGTACTATTTGTAAAAAAATTGGCTTGCAGAAAGTCCACAGCCTTTTCACATTTCCAGAGGTGTTAACCTGAAAAACGGGACACACTGTATATAAAACACCCCGTATCTCCTGTGCCTGTAAAAATAACTATAGCATGTGATATATTGCTGAAAAGCAAAAAAAAATCTCCATTTTTTTAGGTCATGACCAGCTACGAATTCCATAAAAATATACCTATAACTTTGAGTCATAATTTCGGAATTTTAAGATCTAGTAAAAATTTAATACCGGCATTCAATTCTACATGCTCAAAAGTGTCACAATAACGAGAAACGCCCTATAACTTAGAAACAAATGACGATAGCAAATTTCTGATTTGAGAGTCGAGTTTGCCATGAAAATCGAGCTCGAGATCGTGGTGTCAGATGTATCATATCTTTAGTAGTTTCTGAGATACCCTGAATTCCCACCGAAAATGGACCAGCCTGTACATAAGGTCAAAAATCGATCTAGTAAAAATACTGTACTATGGGGTTGTCTATTATTTGATATATGTGACGTCACTACTAAAAGGTCTATTTGCTCCTTCATTAGCAAATAAAGAAATGGTTTAATTTAGGATATCATGAGAAACCCATTTATATTTATCACGTTGCAACCAATTTTAATTCAGGTACAACTTTTATTGTAAGGGGAAGTAACTAATGAATATTGTATTATTCATCAATGTTACCTCTAATGACTATGCATTGCTTGCATAAATATTGTAAAGGGCATATTATCTTGGGAAGAGCCTGAAGAGCGTTTCTCATTTGGATGAATTTAGTTTTTGAAACTAGGAGATATTTCTGTTTAATCAAAACTAAATTTGTAAATATTAAATTAAATTAATAATAATTGTATAAAAATAGATACAGAAAACGGCACAAATATTAAATTAAATTAAATTAAATTTTCATATAAGCATATTCTATTATTCATAATACTGACCTTACAGAAATTCACGGTGGATGAAACAGAAAAGGAGAAAACAGACCTCAGGGAGTCTTCAACCCAGCCACAAACTGACTGGAAGGATGCTGTGCTGATGGAACAACGCTTAAAAGCTATCAATGCTAAGCTAGATGAGTTACGCAACAGCTACGAAACTGATCAAGTCGAAGAAATATTTATGAGGATGGTTAAAAGTGGTACATTGGACAAAGAGTTATCAAAAACAGGGAGATCTAATGTCGATGTTGTCAATGCTGCAACTTCTCAGAAGGATGAAGACCAGGCTTAGGGAATATATTTTTTATATGTATGTAATTTTATAAAAATTCAATAAATAACATTTTTGGAATATATTTTTGTATGAATATACATAGGTTAAACCGAGGGGTAAACCGCTGGGGAAGTTTTTGTACGTGTCCCCAGGAAGTCGGGAAGAAGTTGAAGGAAGTTATAAGGAAGTTGAGGAAGTTGAAAGGAATGCATTATATTAATTACGCTTTTATAGACACTTAGACAAAACACAATTGATCGTATTTACGATAAAAGTTTTTGGGTATCAGGGAGATAAATATCTCACATTTTCATCCTTACAAATCTCAAAACTGACCAAATTATCGATTCAAGCGTGCGCTTTTCACAGAGTTGAAACGTCCTTTGAACAAAAATGGTTATTACCGAGGTTAATCGTGGTAGAAAAATGCGGAGAATGTTAAACATTTATGTGGAGGAATTACGAAGCAGTCTAGAGAAGATCCGAGGAAGTTTGAGGAAGTATAGAGAAGTTTTTGTACAGAATTCACGGAGCGGTTTACCCCTCTGGTTAAACAGTTTTATGAACTAATTAAGAGTCACTGGTTTTCGAAAGTGCGATATTGGAAAATCGAAATTTCTACGGAACTGAAACTTTTAGGTTTCTTTATGTAACGAATATTTTTAGAATCATTTCCGATTTATTTATAGGATATACGAGGAATTATACACTAATGCAAAAAATTAAAGGGTCAAAAGAATTTTCGAAATTTTTCCGTGACTGTAGAATTTAGTTGAAAAATGGTCGTTTCGGGAATTAAAAAAAGTATTTTGAAGCTCTAAGATTCTAGTTTTTAGATCTTTCGGTCGAAATTTTTTAGGGGCTACGGTTATCATGCATTTCTAAGAAATATTTTTTTTTCTACGGATTTGGAAAAATTTTTTCAGCCAAGCCATTGCATGGACCAGATAGCTTGTTTATCCAGCTTGAATTTCCTTTTTTTTTAAATTTCGATACGACCATTTTTCTTCGAAATATCGGACTTTTAATGGAAAAGGATCCTTTTGTCTTCAATCATTGATATTTTGGCGACAACTGGTCGTACAGAGAATTGAAGGACAGTTTCGAAAACTGGACTAAAGTTCCTATAACATGCCGCAACTTTTCGGAATTTTTTTTTTCATCTTTTACATGAATTAGAATAGAAATACTTACGAAATGACTAATGTTAAGCATGACTTTCACAGTTCGATATACTCAGAAAAACCCTGTGAAGTTTTATCTCGATCTAGCGAACCGTTCCTTTGTTTCAAACAGTCAAACTTTTGAAAAAAGTTAAAGGGTCACGTTTTTTGAGCTTAAACACTTCATAATCATGATTAAAATGGATTTTTTTTTTAGTTTTCTCACATTTTTATCGTAAATAACGTATAAATTGATAAAAAAAAAATTCAGTTTTTTTTTTATTTTTTTTGGAACATGAAAAAAATCCAATTGTTTCCAGCACGATTCGGCTTTTTCGTCCTATGCTTCTGTTCATCAACTTTTAATTAAATTAAAATTAAAGTTGATTTCGACCCCGATTCATACCGTTTTTTTGAGACAAATTTCTAATTAATTTTTGTGTAATCTGTAATCACTTAAAAAACAGTTTTTGTCAAAACTACCCTTTTTCTTCTCTGAAAAAAAATTATTTTTTTTTGTTTTCATTAATTTAAACGTTATTTGCGGTGAGTAAACCTTAAACAATTTTTTTTTCCATTTTAATCATGATTATGTGTTTAAGCTCAAAAAACGTGACCCTTTAATTTTTTTCAAAAGTTTGACTGTTTGAAACAAAGAAACGGTTCGCTAGATCAAGATAAAACTTCACAAGGTTCTTCTGGGTATATCGAACTGTAAAAATCATGTTTAACATTAGTCATTTCGTGAATATTTCTAATTTAGCCGTCAATTTTCTAAAAAAAATCATAGATCGACTGTTTCCTCGAAAATGTAAGAATTTTGCATTTAGAAGGATTACGATCTATTTTCTAAGCACCACGAATTTATATGTTCCAGATCAATCTGCAAATTCAAGCTATCCACTAAGCTATTTATAACAGAAAATAACTTTAAATCATTGGCGTAAAAAAGTTTATAATTGTTAATTACCTCATTTAAATCGTTAATATATAGTAGAAAGAAAAGGGGCCCAAGTATGGAACCCTGAGGAACACCTGAGGTAGCAATATAATGAGTCGACTTAAAACCATTATAATAAACAAATTGCATTCTCTTATCCAAATAAGATTTAAAAAATTGAGTCATATCGTAACTGAAGCCAAAATTTGCCAATTTACGGAGGAGTGTCTTATGGCCAATCTTGTCAAAGGCTTTTGAGAAATCCGCATAAATCACATCCACTTGTCCCCTATTATCTAATATNGTGCTATATTTTTTTAGTTATTTTAGAAAAACAGTTTTTTTCAACTTTGCGATTTTTTTTAACCATGTTCGCCATATTGGATCGAGTTTAAAGAACAAGAAACTCAATTTAAAATTTAATTTTCTATACGGTCATATTTTTTTTGTCCAGGTAATAATTTCTGCAAATTTAACATTAATCCGTGACAGAATGCTTGGACTACATGCCGTCGCAACTTTTCGGAAAACATCTTTTACACGAATTTTAAAAAACAGGAAAAAATGTCAATTGATGTTTTTTTAGAAAATTGGCGGCTAAATTAGAAATATTCACGAAATGACTAATAGACTAGGCGGTATTTGTTTTGGTTTGGGTGAATCGTATATCCACGGAAATTTTTGGTTTTTTGGCTTTAAAATATCACTAAAAATGAAAATTTTTCTATGCGCATAAGAAACACGTGGGCTTAACTTTTGGCGGCACAATATGTTAAAAAAATTCGAAAATTGTCTTAATTTTCTTCCTATTTAATTATGTATCTTTTTAAGAGTTGATTTTAGGCGAAAATGGAAGAGGAAAACAATTTTTGTAATTAAATTTTACAAACTATGACTATTTACAAATCGAATGAATCATGATTATTATTGTAAAAATAGAAAAGATCGTCAAAAATGGGGTTAAAGAATATTACTTTTTAGAGATTTTTTTTGGGGTCTTTAAGTTGGGTATAGGACCTTCATACTTGGCTCAAGAAAACTTCATGTTATGTAAAATCATCTCACCAAATTTCATCAAAATCGGTTATATAGATTTTGCATAATAATTTTGCAATCCACATTTTGAAAAAAAAATGCAAATTTTCAAAATTGTACACAGCAAAGACCAAGGCCCTTAGATAATTGAAAACTTAATCACATATAGAAGGGCTCTCAAGCTTTCAAAAGGTTTTTGAAAAATTCGAATCCGTCAATTAGGAGAACTCTGACGCTTGTTTAAATATTGGTCGAATTTTTGTACTTATAAACAATTAGAATAACTTTGTGAATATTCAATCAAATCAATTTTTTTAAAGCAAGTTTTAAAAGTTAGTGAACAGACGCTTCTTTAAAAAAAAACAGATCGATTGGTCAATTAGTTACGTAGTTATAGCCCATCAAAGTTAACCGTCATTTACACTAAACATCCGGGCTAATTTTTCGAAAAATACCTTTGGTATTCCGAGTACTTACCAGGTCTGTTTGCAATACTTTTTTTCATTGGCAACCTACTTTAAAACGCGTTTAAAGTTATTTATGCAAGCGAGAAATTCAAGAAAATCGTACGGGTGGTGGTGGTGGGGGAAGTAGAGAGCGCGGCCGCTTCGGCCTGCTCGAAATTGAATCGGCGAGTTCTAAACCGCGACGCGCTTAAAAATTTTTAATATCTCGGCTTCTAGAGGTCCGATTTTGACGATTTCTTTTAAATCGATATCTCGCGATTTAAAAAATCAATTAGCGTATTTTCAAATGCCTATCGTTAATACTAATTATTGGTCTTTCAACAGTCCGATAATTATTTATCTTTAAACTTCCTTTA